GGGTAAAGCGAGTTGGGGCCAATGGAATGGAAGTTTTGTCCCTTCTGTACACGAGGAGAACTGGGGGGCTTTAATAAGCACCGCCCCCCCCCCAATTCCCTCCCTGGACCCTCTGAACATGGAGGCACAGCCCGGGAAAACTTGGGGTCAACCCCAAGGACTTAAAAAAGTTCCCACTGAATTAACGTTTTTTTCAAAAAAGGAACGAAAGGCAAACGCCCTTCGTTCAGAGCGAGATTTTATTAGAACCACATTTAATTCACATTCATTTCACTGAAATCCAAGCCAAGGCCGTTTTTATCCTGGCCCCAACTATTTTGGGGGATGTGAGCCCTCCCACTGTCTCCTGGCGGGAATTTCATGCAAAAGGGCAAATGCCATTTTTGGCCTGGGGAAATAGGGGGTGCCTCTGTGGAACAGAAGAAGCGAGGATGAGCTCGTCTTCAGTGGAGGCTTTCAAGCAGAGGCTGAGATATTGAGTAGTGGAGTTGACAGGGAGGAGGGGTTGGGCCAGAGGACCTTTAAGATCCCTTCTGCCTCCAGGATTCTAAAATAAATAATAAATACACACTTCCCAGTGTTTCATTTCCTCCACGGAGTGTCCCTTTTGATCCTCAGCATTCTAGGGGGTCACCTCCCATCCAGCACCCCTAAGCCAAAGACACCCAAACAGTCAAACCAACAGCTTACCTTCCATTTTAAACCAACAACTTCGTAGAAACTATACATATCCTTCAAACTGAAAGAGACAATGGTTCACTTTAAGAGGGTGCATTTTTGAGGTTCATTCAGTGGTCCAATTCAAACATGTCTTCAGATTTCGCAATCCTATATTTTTTTAGATTTTTTTAACCCGCCTTTATTTTTTTATAAATAACTCAAGGTGGCGAACATACTTAATGCGCCTTCCTCCTCCTATTTTCCCGACAACAACAACCCTGTGAGGTGGGTTGGGCTGAGAGAGAGGGACTGGTCCAAAGTCAGCCAGCCGGCTTTCGTGCTTAAGGCAGGACTAGAACTCGCAGTCTCCTGGTTTCTAGCCTGGAGCCTTCACCGCTAGACCAAACTGGCTATTTCCCCCCCAGTTCAAACATTAAGGGCCCAGTCCCACGTTTGGGACTGTGGGTTGCACACAGTTTAAATCAAAGTCTTGGGGAAAGTTCATTACACAGATGTCGTGCAAGCGGTCCATACGTGCCAACTCAGCTAATAGAAAGCTAAAAATAAGGAATTTTGCACCACCAGATTTGCTGAGGGCTTGCAAAAATCAGGAGGCACAGGTTCAAGCAAAGATCTTGTTCCTCTTCTGAGAAAATTTCATTGCTCTCCCCTAGAAGAATGTTCCTTACTATAAAATGTGTTAAATGCTCAGCATACAAGGTTGCCAGATACTTGTTAGCAACTCATACATGCACTAGCATAAAAATGCCCATGTATACACACACACAAGCATTTCCCTCACCTGTGTGATAAAAAGCTCCTGTTTTATTTGATCTTGACAAAACATGTTAAGGACACCATGCATTTAACATCACATGAGACTCATTTCTTAAGTTAATTTTCTTCCTGGATATAAAACTACTTCCATTATGGCATATGAATGAAAATCCCTACATTACCTACATTTTCACCCACTAAAGAAACTTTCCCCATCCTATTGCCCTCCAGATTTGTTGAGTTGACTCATTAAAGCACCTATATTTATCCTTTTCCGAACTCTCACAAAAGCCTCAGCAAAGATGTAGCTGCTTTAAAGAGACAGTCATATTCCAGTGTGTTTCAGGGCATCTCTCCTGAATCACTTTCTGAAGAATGATGAGTCCTGGTTTTGATATTCTGTAATTTGTTCTGGGAAAAGAAACATTTAGATTCTTCCTATCTTCGCCCATGGAGAAGGGGAGAAAAAAGTGCCCTCACCTGACCAAAGGGGCATTGCTTTGACTCAGTGCTTTGAAAGTAAGATAACGGTCTCGAATGCTCATCCGGGGTGCATAGAAGCGCATCAGGCCATCAAACTGCTTGAAAGCAATCCCGCAGGGTCTCTAGAGACAAAAGGAGTGAGTTACACAGAGGACGTACAGAGGGTAGCCGCTACAAGCTTTTTTTTCAATTTGCCTCCTCCGTTAGCTGTAGAGAATTCGGTGGTGGTTAGTATCTGGCAACCCCGTGCGTAAAATGGGATCCGCTTGACAGGGAAACTGACCAGGTTTGTATACTGCCCTAAGCCATCATGGGGCTTCCATGGGAATCCTCTTAACTTTTTCAACAGGTGGGCACGTGTTGAATTTTGAAAGTATGACTTGGGCATGCTCACAGCATGGCTGCTATGGGGTCAAATCCCATAAACCAGAAGGCAAGTTGGAAAGCCTGTTTCCCATTCCCTCTCTCTAGCATCCTAGGATGCTTGACACCCTTCAACTTGTCTTGTCTTTCCCTCCCCTGGACAGATGGGTGCATTTCCAATACACAAGGCTAAGAAAGCCTCTGGGTCTGCGGCATTATTGTTACTACAATTATTATTATTACTACAACAGAAGCATTTTTGCAGATGCTCGAAGCTGTGCCCTTTCTTCTTAAAAACAGGTGGGGCAGGGTATCTAGTAGGCATCAAGGGAGGTATCTGTGGACGTGGACACCCATGGGTGCCATGTTGGTAGCAAGAGTTTAGCATGATGCGTGACTCCAATTGGAAGATCTGAACCTATCAGGTGTACTGGGGATCCAACTTTTGGAGGGGCTGCCTCAGCAGGTGCCAACATCTGGCTTGTCTTTCCCTCCCCTGGACAGATTTTCTCTGAGTTTGGAAGCTAAATGGGATAAGGCTGGGTTCGTACTTGGATGGGAGTCCACCAGAAAATCCCAGCCTTGTTAGTTAGGCTGGGAGGTCCAAAGACATCCTGAAAGAAGACAATGATGAATTACTTCTATACTGTTGCTCAGAAACTATATAGACATATCCAGAGGTCATCCGGAGCTGAATCCAGTTCTCAGGAGACCACCTAGAATGGGCTGTGAGAATAACCTTGAGGAACAGGAGGAAAAGCCACAGCCAAAGGATTGTTGTTGGCCCTTTGAGGTAGACTAGACCTGAACACCGAAGTTATGAATACTAAAACTACTTTTATTATAAGGTTATAGTAACAAAATCTTGCAACTCTGAATGTGCTTCCTCACTCCCTGCCTCTACCCCAGAGAGAACTAGGGATGGCCAAGTCTGAGACGCTTTCTCAGGTTACAGTTCTAGCCCAGACTCAGATTTCTCTTATCTGACCATTGCCTTGGCTGCAGCTCTTCCTCCTGTTCCTCAAGGTTATTCTCCCATCCCATCACACCACCTTTATTCTTGGGGACACCCAACAGCAACCTCTTCTACATGCGCCCAGCACCACCTACCTGTTTGCTAACCAGCAGGCGGTAGGCATGCTGGATGGCCATGCGTTTGTGAAGCAACAGTGACCGGAACTTCATTTTTTCAATGTCACTGAATGTATCAAAGACAACAGCAAGGAGCTGCAAGAAGAAAAAGAGAAATTGGAATACCATGTAAATTAAATGTTCTGTCTAGCACCCAAGAATGTGGCAGTGTGTTCTTATGGCCAGGAACAAATTCTTATAGCTTAAGAGATGAAAATGAAAAAAAAACCCACACCCAACTTGGACTTAGAATATTTATATGTTTTTAATTGGCTTAATCTACCATGGTGGGTTGGACCACTTGTGTATGGCAACCATCTCCAGTAAAAGGTTATTCATCCCTGGCTTCCATCCTTCTAGTGAGCTGGAACAGTCTTACAATGTGAGTGTGCATACTTCACATCAACAGATACCAAATCTGAGCATGTTAGCATTTCCAGGCACAGCTGGGAAACTCCTCTGGGCCAGCTTTCCCCAACCTGGGCATCTTCCAGAGGTATGAAACAGCCAGTCTACAACAGTGAAGGTGCTGGAGTTGGGGCTGGGAGACCCAGATTCAAATCAGCCATGGAAGTTCCCTGAGTGGCTTGGGTTAGTTCCTCCCTCTCAGCCCAAAAGCTGGAGTGGGGTAGTGTGAAGGTGCTAGACCAGGAGTGGGGAGACCCAAGTCCCTGCTCAGCCAAAGAAGCACCCTGGGTGATTCTGGGCCAGTTCTTCCCTCTCAGCTCAATCAACTTCATAGGGTTGTTGTAGGGAAAAAACAGGAAAAAATAGAGGGAGGGACCACTGTGTATGCCACCTTGAGCTCCTCTATAAAAGGTGGAATAAAAAATAAAAAAATAGGCTTCAACTCCCAGAATCTCCTAGCAAGCATGGCCACACCCAAGAATTCTGAGAGTTTATTTTATTTATTCGATTTGTATGGCCACCCATCTCATCTAAGTTGGAAGTCTACATCTGGAGAACATCCAGATTTTGAGATTGCTATGGAGAGAACTTCTCTAGAAGTTTCGGTTTCAACACTCCCATCTACCCAAGATAACTTTGACTAGCTGCAACCTGTAGGCCAGAAGTTGTGGAAAACGTCAAACTGCCTACACCAGGTATACATTTTACAGAACTACAGGGATCCGATTTTACTTCAGACTGAACACAGTTATTGTGGTGTAAACACCCACGTCACATATCTGACAAACTGGATTCCAGTTCCAATTTTTAAAGGGCTGCAAGGTTCTTAGATGTTTTCACTGCAGCTAAAGGCTGACAGGCTGCATTAGACATCTAAATGTTAGCAGCAATCCATCAAGAATCATGATGAGTCAACGTTGAAAAACTTTGCAAAGGGAGAATCGTAGCTTGTTTGCAGGACAATTAAAAGATTCAGACTTTCCACTTACTCAACATGCTCACCTTGGTTTGTTTTAACCTTGGCTAGCTTTTTGTGGTTTAGCATGTCAGGCAAACCCAAGTGCTCAGGTCAGCTTATCATTCAATGCCATTGTGTAAATCCTGCAAACTGGGGCTAATCTGGTCATCAAGTAATCTGCATTTTCAGTGAGTCTCTTAAGAACAAGATGTACAGATTAAGGAAGTTGGCCTTGATGGAAGTATGCAGGAACCAGGCTCTAAAACATGTTTTAAGTCCAGAACAATGAGATAACATTTGGAAGTTGCTCAAGAAGACACCTCCCTAATTCACTGGAGTATAAGAAGGACTTGCCAGATTCTGTTATTATAGCCAATTAACAGCATTGATTCTGTAATTGTAGCTAATTTATAGGAGGTTTTAGCCTTCCTGTAGAGTTGATTTCCTGGTCTGGTCCACATAGTGGAATTGAACAAGGCCTAGATCCTTCTAGGCTAAGCATCTTGATGTTCTCTTTCAGAAGAAAGATCACAAAGCATTCACACAAAAGATTGGAGAGCGTAGCCGAGCAACTTACCAAATTCATAATGAAGTACAACTCGATAGAAAGATACACTATGAAAAATACACAGGACCACGGATTTCGGGAATAAGAGGGCATCATCACGTCAGGGAAACTATTCCGGAAGAAAGAGAGATGAAAAGAGAAACCAACGAAGAGTCATCTCCAGCTAGAGAGACCATTAGAGGCGTTTTATGGTGTAAGGCTGTACAATGGTTCAGATTTGTTCTCCAAAAGGCAGTCATGAAATCCCAGGAAAGACATGGCTCCTTGGCACAGTCCAAAACTTTTTTGGGAGACAGATTCCAAAGCGGTGCCCAACTCCAGGGAAGACTACATCAAGTCCGAAAAACCTACTTCTGAGCAGGAACAGCTTTGGTTTTAATTTGTTAAATTATGTTAGCTGCCTTGAGTACTTCCTTGAATAGGAAGGCAGGGTATCAACCAATCAAATCTATACATAAAGGGAAAATTTGAGGGTTGCATTACACAAGGAGGTGAAATTCATTCATTC